GATACATTTTGTTTGGTTGATATATGTTTCTGCAATTTCACAATGCTCTTTCAAGTATTAACTCAATAGAGCATTGGTCTAAAGAAATTCACTTTTGCCCTTACTACTAGTTTTAAAATATTTGCACATGATTAGGAAGCTGTAAAAACACATTAAAACAAGCCCTAGCTGACCTCTGAAGCTGCAGGTAGTTTGGAGTAATTCATCCTCAAAGATCACACCAGTGACGCTGAAGCCAGGCTTCAGTACATTTCTAGCAGCTTTCATCACTTGGTGTATATTTACATAAAAGGCTATGACATTTAGAAGGCTGCCAGGCTGCTAAGTCACTACCATCAGGGTGCTGATGGCACAACCAGTGGTCTGCACTGATAGGAATCAGTGCCAATGTGGTGATTGTGACACATCACACTGTTTACATTTTCTTCCTTTTTTTTTGTAACAGCTTTAGTGAAATCTCACAAGTGATGTTTCATTAGGATTTTTTTACACAATGATCCTGCAATGCAGTAGTGGTGTCAACTGACATTGCACAACAAAGCACATTGTCTTGACATTGGATTGGTACTGCACTAGACAAGGCTGCCCAGCACAGTTCAACACAAATGGTGTAAACAAGCGCTCAGAAACAATAAGGGGAGAGGAGTTGCAACCTCAGTGCTTCTGTTAAAACTTTGGAGATGAATTTCTCAATAGTACATGCAGCTATAGATATCAGTGATGTCTTGTTTTAAAGTGATTTGACTGCTTGTTAGAAATATATATACTATTAACACCTTCCTGCCCGGCCTATAGCAGACTGACGGCGGGGCGAGACACTGACGGCGTGACTGAGCGTCATATGAACTGCAGTCCAATTGGGACACATCCTTACAGAGGGAAATCTTATTAATATCACTAGATATCCAGAAAGCATTTGACAGCCTGAGTTTGACGAATTTGGTCCGACGTTTGTCGACCGCTTATGAATCCTGACTGGTCATCATGAATATATAGGGCCAAAAATTTATGGAGGCGTAGGGCCAGGATTTTAGTAAGAATCTTTAAATCGCAATTAATCAAGGAGATAGGGCGATAATTAGAAACCATAGAGGCGTCCTTAAGAGGTTTGGGGATGACATGAATGAATGCCTTATTTTCGTCTGGGAGTACCAGCCCCCCATCCCGTAAATAGTTAAAATAGAGGCCCATATGGGGAATCAGAATATCAGGGAAAACGTTATAATAGCTATGGGGAAGACCATCCGGTCCTGGGGCCTTATGAGGGGCAAGAGATTTCATAGCACTCCCGATTTCTTCGCACGAGATAGGTCGGTCCATCAGTTCCCTCTGGGCCTCCTGGAGGGGGGGAAGCGAAACAGAACTCAAAAAGGTGTCGAGAGACGAAGAAGCAGCCCCCCCGAGGCGAGCTATAAAGTTTAATGTAAAAAGACTGAAATTTGTGGAGGATCTTACTAGGGTCTTGAGATAGCATTCCATTATCCAATCTGAGTTTGGAGAGAGCCATCTGGGAATGTCTGGAAGTCAGCTTGCGTGCTAATAACGTGCCAGGTCTGTCCCTCCAAGTAAAAAAAATTTATGGTTAGACAAACAAAGCTGTTTGTCAGCAGTGGTAGTAAGCATAAATTAAGTTCCAGTCGGGCCTGGTCAAGTTTAAGTAGCAAGTCTGGACTGGGATTTTGCTTATGTTGAGCAACCAAGTCACTGTATGATTGGGTTTTGGTGGTAAGTAGGTCATTTCGGGCTTTAATTCGAGAGGAGAGTTGAAAAATACACCCCCTGACCGAGGCCTTATGGGCTGCCCAATTAATCGCCGGATTCGTGTCCTCTGCTTTATTAAGTTCAAAGTATGCTTGTAAATGTGAGGAGATTTCCCGACAATGAGAGGGGTTACCCTAAATAGAATCATTAAGACACCAGTGAAAAGCCGTCTTACCAAGTGTCCAGGATGACAAAGTTATGGAAATTGGGTCATGGTCAGACCAAGGCGTGGAGAGAATTTTAGCAGTGAGGAGTCTGGGAAGTGAATGCGTATGAAGAAATATATGGTCAATACGAGAATAACAATTATGAGCCCTGAAGTAATGGGAGTAGTCTCGAGAAGTAGGGTTAGCTTCCCTCCACGCATCAATAAAGTCAAAACGATACAATAGTTGGGCCAACTTACGGCTCCGTCTAGAAGGGGGCTGAAGCGTGGTGGTTTGGGAACTATCCAGAATCTGGTCCAACGCCAAATTGGAGTCACCAGCCAGAATAACTTCACCCTCCAATTCCTTGGCCATAGAGCTTAATAAGGATTGGAAAAATTTCACCTGATTGGTATTTGGAGTGTAGTAGATTAGAAAGGTGAGCAGGTTTCCTCCCAAGTGGCCTTTCACCAGAAGATATCGCCCCTCCCTGTCCCGGATAATTTTAGATTTGGTAAAGGACAAACGGCGAGAAAAGCAAAGGGCCACCCCCCGTTTTTTCTCTGTAGCATTAGCAAAAAAACGGGGTAATTTTTATGAACATATCGTGGAGAGAAGGAGGGGGGAAAATGCATCTCCTGCAGGGCAACTATGTCAGCCCCAAATGAGTGATATGAATTAAAGGCCTTTATACGTTTGGAGGGGGAATTGAGCCCCTGAACGTTGTGAGATAGTAGACAAATAGCTCCTCTATCAGACCGTAGGGAAGACATAACAAATAGTTAAAGAGCTATGTAGGGTAGGAACCATCCATTCCCGAAGAATGGTAATATTCCAAGAAGTCCATAGATGTTGCCAGCTGACCCTGGGGAAAGACAAAAAAAAAAAGGGAGAGAAAAGGAGAGAAAAAAAAAAAAGAGAAAAGAGAAGACATGTGGAACACAAAAATCCTCATGTCGAGAAACCCAGTAGTACTCAAAATAATGTTTCATATATGAATCAAACTGTGTACCAGAAAAGCACAGAGCAATAGCCTTATAGTGGAATGGATCTACCCAGAGAAATGAACTCAGGGAAGAGTCTTCCAGTCAAAGAGAGCAAATAGCCACTCGCTGGCACCGACAAGAACAGTAACCCATCAGCAATATAGCAAAAATTTAGTGCAGATAGAAATAACAATAATCATATATAGTGTAACCCCTAGATCTCCACCCACCCCCCCCCCCCCCCCGCCAATCCTCCCACGACAACAGAGCAGCAGCGGCCAACGTTCCCAAGGAGTCACAGGCCACCACCTATCGGAAATCACAGAAGAAAGTCCACAAAAGGATACGGAAGTTCAAGGAATCTTCCCAGGTGAGTTCCGTAACTCCTTCTTCCTAGAATTTGGAGTAGACCAGAGTGGAGAGAGCGGCGGAGGTCGAGTGGCCGATCCTGCAGGGGAATGGGATGTAGGACTATGGGAGATAACGCCCAGTTGAAGCAATAAGTCCTCGCCATCCTGCAATGTAGAGAACCCATAAGGCTTTCCATTAAGATTGAATTGCAGGCGAAAAGGGTAGGCCCAACGATATCAAATGCCCTTCTGTAACAAGTGGGAAAGTAGTGGCTTGAGAGAACGCCGTTTCTGGATGGTGGTCGGAGATACATCAGCAAAAATGTTTATCTTATGCCCCGCAAACTCCAGGTCCGGAGTTTCCCTGCCATACTTCATAACCGCTTCCTTGACCTGGAAAAAATGAGGCTTGACGATGACATCCCTGGGAGGTCCCCCTTGTCTGGGGGGCATCAATGCTCTATGGATACGATCTATCTCAGTGTGAAGATCATCAATATCGGGTAAAGAAGACCGCATGAGGGATTGTGCGCAGCTAGTGAGCTCTTTTACTGACTCTGGGAGTCCTCGAATGCGGAAATGGTATCGCCTAGCCCGATTCTCCAAATCATCAATTTTTGAATAAGCTTCCTCCAAGCGATCTTGCAGGTCGATAATCATCTTGGAATTTTGGGATACGCTATGGACTGTCACATCAACTTTAGACTCAATACATTCTAGGCGTTGGCCCAAATCCTGAAAATCCTGTTTAAGGTCAGCCGCCAATTTTGAAGTAGCTCTATCCAGTTCGCATTGCAGCAAATCTGCGAACCGAGCTCTCAAGGTTGCATCACCTGAGTATCGTGGTGGGTCTGGCGGAACTGTTGGCGAGGTAGCTGGGCTGTCATCTGGGCTCTGGGCCACTATTCTGGCTAGAAAAAATAGCAGCGATTTCGCTGCTCAGTGGCGAGGAGGCAGGGGAGTCGTGGCCCAAGGAACAGGCCGAAGCCTGAGATTCTGGCAGTATAGGGCTGGAAGGCGACCGGGGGGGGCCGCGGGGGGTCACTCACCCTAGGAGGCGAAGCTGCCGCAGTCCCCTCTAGTCCAGTGAAGGAGGAGGTGCCCAATTTTTCCCTCTGGGCGAGAGGTGCTGCTAAGCGTGGAGCAGAGGAGGTGACAGGAGCTGCGGGCGCCGAGCCGAGTGCCATCTTGGATCTCCCTGTCCCCGCAGGGATCATCATATGGGAGCCTCCGTGCATCTTCCCCGCCGCCTTCCCCGGCATGATTCCAAGGCCCGAGGTCTGAGCAAGGTCTGGGGGGGGGGGTCCCAGGAGCTGGGAAAGCACAGTGCCTTTATATGGGCTGTTATGGGCACCGGAGGTGTGCGGAGCTATCGCCTGGACATCCGATCGCGGCGGCCGCGCATGCGCACCCCCCTAAACAACACTTTAAATTGTATCCAATTAGGCAGACTCTTGCACTACATAGTTGAAGGTAAATCTAAAGGAAATTGGGCAAAAATTGGACAGAAAATTGTATAGTGTATGGCCAGCTTTAGTTTTTGGGAGGTGACTAAACATGAAACTCCTAGAAATGTCCTTCACAGCTAACAGCACCTGGAATGAGTCAAAATCTAATTATCTGATATCAAGTCTTGCTTTTCAAAACAATAAATACTGTCTGTAGAAGCAGAATAGGAAGCATTTTATATTACTCCTAAACTGGATTGTTGATGTCATGCTGATAATCATACACATTGGTTGTTGTCATATTGTTTTATGTGCCATTTATATTTCTTCATAAAAGTACTCAGGCTTATTTTACATTCCTCTTTTACAGTCATCACAAGCCCTCCAGGATGGGAAATCGGAATATACATAGCTGGTGCGCTGACGCTGCTTGGTGTGGTGGGTTTATACCTCTGGAAGCTGTATAAATCTGGGAATTATCCATCACCTTCTCCATTCCCTAACTATGACTATAGATATCTGAAGCAAAAATACGGGACATCTTACTCAGATGCCAAAAGAAAGGTGAGTAGATCAAATGGATGATGTAAACATTTTCCAACTTTGGATGGACAGTGTTGGGTTTATTTCTAGCTTGTGGAGACTCCAATAGTGGGATTGTCCTGCTGTATCTCTGCCCCTCCCAAAAGCCATCATGATAACGTCAGTTCTTTTGCCGCTAAAATCCATCATCTTGCATTTTTGGAGGATTTGTCCATTTAAATAGCACTGTGTGAAAAATATTGATTCCTGATAACTGTATGGGACTAATATACTGTACATGATGTGTTCAGTATATTCAATTCCAGTGGAGTAAACTGTACAGCTTAAAGCAGTAATAAACCCCAAATCAAATATTTTATATATTGCAGCTTACCCATCATTAGATGTGGTGGCTACATTGCTTTTCTTTTCTTAATTGTTTTTGTTTTCACTTGGTAATCTGGCCAGTAACTCCCTTCTGTATTAGAGTGCCCCCACTCTGGATGGATGAGCACAGGGGGCACAGCAGGGTATTATCAAATTTAAATACAGAAACAATGTAAGCCAAACTCCATCTCACACTTTATAATCAGTTACAGCAACATTTTTTTTCTTTTGGGAGAAAGGTTTCACAGAAATGAAAGCTGATTGTAAGTACCCCTGGCAGTGGTAAATGGTTTGTCTTATCACTGTAAACTAATACATCTGGAAAACAGCTTGTTCTTTAAAAAAAACAGACCTGCTGGCTGGATCACTAAATGAAACTGCAAGAAATTAAGCCTAAAAAAAGGTAACTAATGCAGCTATCACAAATTGGTAAGCTACAATATAATAAATGTTTGATTTTGCATTAATTCTGCTTTAACCACTTGCCAACTGCACTATAGCCAAATAACAGCTACAGCACGGTTGTCCAGTTCTGGGAGGGTGCCATATGACGTCCTCCCAGAACGCACCCTCCCACACGCCCCCGGGGGCGCACACCCAGCGATCTCTGTGATTGCTATGTCCTACGGACACAGCTGATCACGCGATGTGGTAAAAGGTCAATCACAGCGGCCTTTTACCATGTGATCAGCTGTGCCCAATGACGCAACAGATCACTGGTAAATGCAGTTGCCGATTGTCAGCTGCACTTTCCTCATGCTGTCACAGCGTGAGGAAAGTACTGCCGATAACCAGCAATTATCAGTGGACGGATCGGCACTGATCATCAGGGCAATGATGATCAGTGCCACCCACCAGTGCTGCCCATCTATGCCAAGCTGTGCTGCACAAGTGCCCAGCAGTGCCACCCACCTGTGCCCATTAGTGCCCATCAGTGCCACCCACATGTGCCCATCAGTGCCTAGTAGTGCCACCCACCTGTGCCCAGCAGTGCCACCCACCAGTGCCCAGCAATTCCACCCATCAGTGCTGCCCAGCAGTGCCGCCAGTCAGTGCCCAGCAGTGCCGCCTATCAGTGCCCATCATTGTTGCATATCAGTGCCGCCTCATCAGTGCCAGCTCATCAGTGCCACCTATCAGTGCAGCCTATCAGTGCCGATCAGTGCAGCCTATCAGTGGCCAGCAGTACTGCCTATCCGTACCACCTCATCAGTGCCACCTATCAGTGCCCATCAGTGCTGCCTATCAGTGCAGCCTCATCAACGCACATCAGAGAACGAGAATAATTTCCTGTTTGCAAAATTTTATAATAGAAACAAAGAAAACCTTTTTTTTTTTTTAAATTTTTGCTCTTTTTTTGTTTATAGAGAAAAATATAAAACACCCAGCAGCGATTAAATACCACCAAAAGAAAGCTCTATTTGTGTGAAAAAAATTGGTACAGTGTTGCATGACCGCGCAATTGTCATTCAAAGTGCAACAGCATTGAAAGCTGAAAATTGGCCTGGGCAGGAAGTGGGTATACATGCCCGGTAGGCAAGTGGTTAAAGTGACAGTGATGAGGGTATGAACAATCTACATTTGCCTCCTATTCGAATGGCTTAAATCTTCTTTATATATATTGTAACTACTTATGCACCACTGGTAGTGTTATGGGTAGTCCCAACTACTTCTGGAAAGCTTGGTGCTGTGCCAGGATGAGGGATAGGACACTTCAACAGGATGGTGATGCAAAAAGGTCAGGACCTTCAACCTACACTGCTGAATTAGTTCACAGCTCATGACTAGTGGAGGTACACTTTGGCCTTGTTCTGGCACTGTCTACATGTAACTGAGGATTAAAATATAAATATAGGCACATCAAATTAAATAAGGAACTGATATACTAAATACTGTCATCACATGTATTAACCCATACAGTTACCAACATGCAATATTTTTCACTATACAAAAATAAAATAAGAATAAATCCTCATGCGCTGCCACCCCCTAAATGATTACAAGCTGCTGCAAGCACCCAAATGTGTTCCCACAAGTCAATCAAATATATAAATTGCTGCTGCACGGCTCCCTTAAATATAATCCAAGTGAAATAATAAATACATCAAATTACAGAATACTTTTATAACACCATACCAATCATAATTGATAAGTGAAAACATTTAAATGTAAAAAGTAAACACCCAGCTGAGCGCCTCCTCAATAATACCATAAACTATATAGCATAAATGAACCAAAGTGTACAATATAAAAAATGAATAACTCAAGTAAACACCAGGCTGGGTACTACTCACAATAGTGACACTAAATAAACATAAATATAATACAGTGTATGTATATGAACATACATAAATAGCAAATATAAATTCTTGGTAAACACCCGGCCGAGCACCTAACCAAATGATCATATCATGTGACTAATATGAGTGCAAAAAAGTGAAGTCAAAATAGAGATATCAAAATAATACAGTCCCAAACAGTCTGTTATGTAAAAATCTTCAATCGTAAAATAAATCCACCAGTGACCTTCTGCTGTAAAGTAATCACCACTTGTGCTTCTCCACCTTCTAGCAGGCACACTCACCTTAATGTCCAACCTGCAGACTATATAGGCCACATGCGCTCTTATTAGATGAGTCTCCAGACAGATCTCTTGGATATCTCCACATAAATGGATTCCTTACAGTCTCCCTCCAGTTGGCCAATATTCAAAACAAAAGGAACAGAGGACTTCCCATAGTGTAATAAGTTCTTTAATTATTAAAAAGCAGATAAAAAACTACTCTCATGTTACAATCGGGCCCACAGAGCCATACAAGCATGTAAAAACAATAAACCTACAGCTAGGTGTAGCAAGATGGCAGCTGCTGTCCGCAACTGGAAGTGACATCACCACACTTCCATGTTGCTTCACAAGTCTCGTGACTTCTTCAGGGATCCCTGAAGTTCAGCAGGAATTGGCCAAGATTCGATCCATCTATGGGCAGGCTGTTTGTAGTGAAGTCAATCCATCAACTTCATCCACTTCAGTACAACCAGCTTGTCAGATTTTTTTTTGCATATGATTACTGCCAGCAGCTATAGCTGTCAGCAGAAATCAATGTGTTCTTCTGGTAGGGAAGGTTCCCTGCCGGCATAACACAATAGCACTGGGGGAGGGATTCCTCCATCAACACTGAGTGTGTTGATAGGGGAATTGAGTGATCCCATAGGTTGCAGGAAAAAAAAATCTCATTTATGGCTTGCCTTGCTCTTACATATGCAAGGGAAATTGGTTACAAACATGTACATCATTGAACAACATGAACATGATACAACAACTTTCATCATACAACATATATGTCATATAACATTACACACAATACTCTTTGTAAAGGTTAAGTCTTTCTCTCCATCGTAGTAACATGACAATGGCCAACTGAGATGCTTTTTAATTTACATTTACTAGAAGTGCTGTGTGCATGCTCTACTGGCTCATTACAGTAATGGTCTTTTCTGGGTATGGGTCTATACTCATCTGTAATAGACACTTAATAGAATGTCAGTATTAGAACCTAGCCGCAGTACAGAGCTTTCCAGTGCATCATCTCTGCAACACTCCAGTCATACTGCAATTACTTCTATAGCACAGCAGCACTTTTATCTCCAAATTACTCTGCTATGTACTATAAATTGAAGATTAACAAGAACTAGGTAATTTCACTTGGCAGATATAGTGATATCATATTATTTTCTTCAGAATTCACTACAGGATTATTTTTCAGTTCTCAGTGTTGTGTGTGACTTAAAAAGCAATTAGATTTAAAGTATTCCTGTCACCAGTTGTTAGTTGCACACCTGAGACAGTTATTTATGTAGAACAGCGATAGGCAACCAGTAGATGGACTTTTAGTTCAATAGCATATAGTGATCTACTGGTTCCATACTACTGCACTAGAATAGGTATTACTGTTTAGAAATAGGTATTAATACTCTAGTAACAGGTATTGATGTTCTAGAAATAGGTATCTCATGAAGATAGGGCAGACGTACTGAATATAAAACAAGAGGAGCATTGGTGGGCTTGATTGTTGAGTGATTTCAGTGAGTTCAGTTTTTGCAATTATACAGGAGATGGTCTTCGATACCACCATTTAGTTATTTTTCATTCACTCAACAATCAACATTCCTAACAGAAATAATATCTTCACAAAGTACCATTATTTCTGACTGTAATACTATATTTTAGCAGTATGTGGTGCTTCAAACAAAATTTAGGTCTATGATCTCAGATTCCAGAATAAATAGGAACAGACAAACAGAACACTATCTGTGACTACATGGAGAGGTTTGAGGAAAGTATATTACCCTTAAAAATAACCATTCCATTCTATAAAATGATTACACAATACCTACCAATTACATTTTCCAGCTCCTTTTTCTAGAAGAGCTTAATCCCAAGGCACATTTCAATGCATGTGGTTGGGTTCTCCCAGCTCCTTTTGTTGGTCAATAAAACTGTCCATTATGTTTAACGACTAATAGAGGACAGGAGAAAAAAGAAATCATCTATTTTTTGGAGAAAGTTGGGGTTTGTATATCAAAGCTTCCTGAATGTAGGGGTTCCTGGGATGGTAAAGATCTTGAAAAGAGGTATGTGTGCTTCCTATATATTCAAGCTGTTAATTAATTTCTTTCAAGAAAGAAGAAAGGGTCACGGTAAACCAGTTTGTCCTTACTATTTCATAGTTATATAGTTACATAGTTACATAGTTAATCTGGTTGAAAAAAAGACACCAGTCCATCCAGTTCAACCAAGAACAAAAAAAACACACCACATACAAATAGAAAACTTCCATATACACTAGCCTATATCCACAGTTGATCCAGAGGAAGGCATAAAAACCCCAATAAAGCATGATCCAATTTGGTCCAGCAGGGGAAAACATTCCTTCCTTCATGAAAGAAATACAAGAAGCGAAGTGCTTTGGGCTACTTATAGCTATTTTTGGTTGGTCCGGGAAAGTTAAACAACATCACTATTTTCTTATATACTGTATCTCGGACACTTTGTTGGTGTCCCGTCATGTCTGACTTCCTGGGTTGTCAAACATGCTGCAGTCAATATAAGGTGTTCCCACTCGTACTGCTGAACTATTTACTTTACATTTTGTAAAGTACAACAGGAGAAGCAGAAACGGGCAGATATGCACAAATCTTTGGGCCCCCCTTTCAAAACTACTTTTGGGTCATAATCTTTAATTTGTAGTGTACCTTCAGAGACAGAACTATGGGAGTTGCTGCTGATGACTCATTTTTAAAATTGCAGGCTTTGGGACAGTGGGTAACATAAAAAATGCCCCAGTAATTGTTTTCTACCATGTACCAACAGTGCATGTTTGCTGACACTGGGTCCTCTGATCTGCGCTGCTTCCCCAATCATCTGGGTAGTAGAGGTGGGTACCAAGGGCTATGGAGTGATTGGCTCCTGCTGCTGCCAGTCTAATTGCTGGAAGAAGGAACAGGGGTGTGGTTTGCCAGGCAATGATGTGTGTGTCTCTGTTCAAGCATTTGATTACTAAATACACCCCCAGTCTATTAACCCCATCATAATTAAACCCATAATATTGAATGCATAAGATCTAGATCCTCTTAGGGTGTTCCTGCCCAGGGCGGACAGGAACACCCAAAACTCCCAAGCAAACAGCAAATGCTATAGAAATTATGGCAAGGAGATCTTGCTGCAGATATAATCAAACACATCAGAAGCCAGGGACAGACTCAGCCTATCATGCTACAGTCACAATTAAAATATCACTTTTAGGTGAAATTAACCTTTATAATACCAAATATGCAGAATTAAAATTTAAAATGCTCAGTATAGATTTTAGCTAAGGACCAAAATATCCAAAGTTGGCTATACAAAGGACCAGAAGCTTCAAGGCAAGGTATACAAAGAGCTATTAATTACCAATGATGGGCAGCACAGTGGTTAAATGCTTGGCACTTCCACCTGGCAGCAATAGGGTCGTTGGCTCGAATCCCAACCACCTGTCTGGAAGTCAAGGTCCTACCTTTTCCCAGAGGTTATGTTACTCCATGTGCTGGCATCCATGTTGGATTTCTGCTGAGCATGGTGGGAATCCTTTATGCCTTCAGGTCTCTGAGGTCCATCCCCCAGAGGGGTGTGGCTGATGACATATAAGCCTGTGGTCCGCACATGCTCTTTGCACTTGTGTCTTGGTGTTGCTATTACTCTGTTCTGACTCTCCTGGAATCTGACTCGGCTTGTGACTCGACTATTCTTTGTGTTCTCCTTTGATCTGACCCTCTGTTGCTGAACCCGGCTCGTGGACCTGTGATTCTCGTCTGCTGTCCTGTACCGTTTTGTCCCGTTGTCGACCCGGCCTGCCTGACTACTCTATTGTCTTTTCCACCAGCTACACGCCATTGGCGGCGGCCATGGTACCTGGTTCCTGGCTGTGTCAAGTCCATCCCCACCATCAGGGGCCCTGGTGAAGGGCAGCCTGGGACTTAGACTCCGCGCCCTGAGGGACTTCGGTCTGTGGGTGGTGGTTGTCGTACATTGTTTAGGCCTGCCTGTCCGTTCCTCAGCTCCTGCCCTGACACTGGAGTTTTTATGTTCTCCCTGTGCCTGCGTGGGTTTCCTTGTACACTCTGGCCCTGGTATGTGTATGTATGATTGTGAGTTAGGGGCCTTAGATTGTACACTCTTTGAGGGTTAGGGACTGATGTGAATGTATAATATATATATACTGTATGTAAAGTGCTGTGTAAATTGACAGCGCTATATAAGTACCTGTACTAAATAAATAAGATCTCATGTTCTGACAGGCTTTACTGAGACCTACCAAGATTTTAAATTTTGCTACAGAGATCAAAAATTGATTGTTTGAAAGCTCTTTACTGCTGGTTAGGAATATGCAAACACTTTGGGATCCATAGTTTGGACACAGGTTCACCTTAATTCATAGACAATTATTAATGCATTTTTACATACAGCTAGTGAAATAGTTAAATTGGTCTTGATCTCTTGAAAGAGAGTGGGGCTCTACAGCATCAGGGATCTATTGCTTTGCACAGTGATGTACTGTATATCACAATGTGAACTCTCTCGCAGAAGGTTAAAACACATAGATGAACATATTACTGTGCACCTACCCTTTGTTGTCCAATGATAGGTTGAGCTTCGTTCCTATTCAAACCCATTCCTATCTTTGACAAGACTAACATGCTTGGTGACAGGCTGTGCTGGTAGATGGCGGTGATGAGGGTGGGGAGCTGCCGGGAAGAGTTACAAATCCTTTAGCAAATTACACATATGTATTTAAACTATGTATTTAACTTGTTTACTTGTAGTTCAGCATTAGTTTGCTATTGCATTGGTCTCATTTACTAACCTTCGTAACCATGAAATGGCTTTTTCTTTCTATTCCCAGAGGACCGTTCATGGGAATTCTTCAAACAATGTGGCGAATCTAAATGACACCTATGAGAGCATGAATGAGTTTGGTCCCATGGAACTGATCAACAGGGACATGGAGATGACACCATATGGGATGTTAAGGAAATCCGTCTCCACAGATTCTCTCAGCTCCATCTCTTCTATTGGAAATAACTTTGGCCAGGACTTTACAGTGGGACAGATAGAAGTGACTATGGATTATCATGTACATTCCAACACACTGCATGTCATGTTAATTCAAGGAAAAGACCTTATGGAGAGGAAAGAGGATGGAAACTTTGAGTCTTGTTTCGTTCACATTAGCCTGCTACCTGATGAACAAATTGTTGGAATTTCAAGGGTATGTAACCATGGAATTTGTACCTTACATTTGTTTTTTGCAGTTGCACTTTGCACTTTGTATTGCTTTTGGTGTCAACATTACACAGTGGTCATTGATTTCCCTGACTTATCCTTAAATATGGCTGACTTTACCACTCGATTGTTATCTCAATTGCTAACACCTAACCTACCCTTTCAAATAAAGCCTTTTATCTTAACCTGCATCCCTACACCTAACCAGAGCCCTTAACCCAACCCTTAAATGTGACTCTAAATATCCTAATTTTCACACATAACCTCTAACATTTGCTCCTCAACCTGCACCCTAACCCTTAACCTATCATTTACCCCTTAAACTCTAACCTAACCTTTGCATCAACCCCCTAACCCTTGTACCAAGCCCAAACCTCTTTTTTATACCTAATGTCAAATTAATGCTACAGGAGCATATTTACTTTACTAAGGGCTTAAAGCATTGGCAATAAATCCTCAGTTCTGCATCAACACTTACCAGCACTAAAGCCTATATACTGAAAAATGCCTACTGAGATTTTAGATCTACTGTATAGAAGTGTTTCTTTAGCTAATATGAAATATTTATCTAAATAAGAAAAATATTACAATATTAGTTCATTTCTATGGTGCCACTTTAGAAGAAGAAGTTGTAGTTCAAATAGTATGTCCAAGCTGCCTGCCTACATTAGGAACCACAAAACGTTAGGGATACTTGGCCATTGGTGGTGCCTCCAGGAACTAATGAAGAAAAGGCCAGCACTTCAAAGCTAGTTTTACCTTTTTTATTTTACATAATGTAAACAGATGTCCTGGGGACACAAAAGTGCTCTTTATCATGGTGGAAGAAGAATAGCCTTTTCTTCATTCATGAAGTTCTAGCGTAAACCCTCCAAAAACAAAATAAAGAGTGTCTGTACTTAGTGTATGAGTGTTGCTGCCTGCCTGAAGTGTGTACAAACTCTTTAATTCTTCTGGCAGGCAAGAACACCATCAGTTCATTATCTTATAGATATAACTTATTCATCTGAATAATATGTGAATCCTTCACAGCACACAAAGAGTTTACAATCTAATGTCCTTACTGCAGTCATACAGAAACACACAAAACATAATATACAAAGTACAGGGACTAATTGCATTTGTGATTAGAGCAAGGGTCTCCAAACGTTCTAAACAAAGGGCCAGTTTTTTGTCCTTCAGACCTGTAATATTTCCTGGCATCAGTGAGAGTAAACATTGCAACAATTGGGATTAGGGGTAGAAATAGTGCCCCATTGTTGGTACCAGTGGAAGAAATGGTGTCCCATTGTTGTCAGTGGGCAGAATAGTCTTGTATCAGTGAGAAGAAAAAACAGGCAAAGGGCCCCATCCAGCCCCTGGGCTGCAGTTTGGAGACCACTGGTTTAGAGAAATAAGGCCATATGATATATAATGAATACAGATGATTCCTATGGGGTGCCGCAGTTTGCTCATTACTATTAGGCTGATTACAAATAGCCAGATATCTCCTTGAGAAAAAAGGGCAGGCAGATGTCCTTGACTGACCGCCTGCTTTGATCCTCAACTTACATTGACAGCAGTTCAGCAATAGTAGTTGAAATATACTATATTGTCAAAAGTATTGGGACACCCCTCCAAATCACTGGATTCAGGTGTTCCAATCACCTTCAAGGCCACAGGTGTATAAAGTCAAGCACCTAGGCATGCAGACTGTTTTTACAAACATTTGTGGTAGAATGGGTTGTTTTTAAGAGCTCAGTGATTTCAAGCGTGGGACCATGATAGGTTGCCATCTGTGCAATAAGTCCATTCATGAAATTTCCTTGCTACTAAATATTCCACGGTCAACTGTTAGTGGTATTATAACAAAGTGGAAGCAACTGGGAACAACAGCAACTTAGCCATGAAGTGGTAGGCCACGTAAAATGACCGAGCAGGGTCAGTGCATGCTGAAGTGCACAGTGCGTAGAAGTCACCAATTGCCTGCAGAGTCAATAGCTATAGACCTCCAAACTTTGTGTGGCCTTCAGATTAGCACAACACCCTCTACACCTCAGAATATGATATATATGATATGAATGAATATGATGATCACAAGCAACCCTTAAAACCTGGAGCATTGTTTGCTTTTATCAAGCCAGGCCTTAGCGGTATTGAATAAGCTGACATATACATATATGACATTCATATATGTGCACTGCACAGTAAAATAAATGGGCTAAATCTTCTGTGATGATGGAATCTTGAGGACATCCACACAGTTTACTGGTTTAACTCTATTACATTACCCCCCAGTGTTGATATGTGTACTCGTTACATCTCCCCTTTTAATGGCACCTCCCTTCAGGTTGGGAGACACTGCAGCAGAGGAAAAGTTAAAAGCTACTGAATCGTTCAGACAAGCAGACCGTCCTTGGAGGATACTGCTTGCCAGGCTTCCAGCCTCCCAGTGTGCTGCGTGGGTGTATGTGCTACACGTCTAATACGGGAGATACTCATTAAAAAATGACAGCAGAAAATGTAGTCCAGCTCCCTTCTTTGTGCTGCAGGGTTGTTATTTCCTTCTTAAGAATATAGCGCTTTCGTTACAAGACGTATATCAGCACAAAGAACTACAAAGTAAAGCTGCACATGCCGTGTAAAAAAGAAAATCAATGACTTTTATGACCCCATAAAGTCATGCTATGCTCAAAAATCTTATTTAGATTTAAACCTGATAACTAAAATCTCATATACTATCTAACACATTGTAATTTCAAAAAGTCTTTTCAATCTTTTTACATTTGCAGCCTAAAGTAGAATTAAAGGCAAAATCCTTTTTTGCATTTTGGATAGAGTAAGAGAATTTATTTTGCCTTTGGAGTCCCATTGGGGAGACTTCCCTTTACTTCTTATCCCATAGCCAAAATATGAAGTGAGAGGAAATCAAAGTGAGGTAATACTATATCTGGTTGTTAACAAGGTCACCCAAACCAGTGTCCCCATTGGAATATCTCTCTTCGATTCCTATTCTGGTGACAACCCAAAATTCAGGATTTTTCTTTCGCTTGCAGTGTCAGTGATAACAGTAAACACTACAAATAGAGAGGGTAAATCTTCCCAGCAGGGCACATACAGCAATAAAAACTGACAGCTGTCCTAATCCCTCTCCACTCCATTCAAAACTGAAAAAAAGGTTTGCTTTTAGTTATAGTTTAATAAAAAGAATAGCTTTTGATTCTAAAATGAACTTTATGACAAACGAAACATGGCAATTGCTCATGATACACAGTGCTTTAGGGAACTAAATATCATTCAGTTAGCGTTAGATCTACTTCAACCCCTATTTACACCTGAGCGATTTGTCATGTGTTTCCTGAAGCAACACAACGCTCAACATCAATATTCATATTTCATATTTCACCATTCACACCTGAGCACCATGCTGCTCCTTGTTGTGCAAAAATGCACACAAGTTTTTTTTCCAGTAGAATCATGTTTTTGGTTCCATCGACTTCAAATGGAGTATCTGTATCTGCACAACACAAGTATTTAGGAATGTTTTTTGGTTGTTTTTGTGCCTAACAACCAATCCCTTCCTCCTATCAACCTTAGGCTTGTGAGCAAAATGAAGGATTTAGGAGTGTCCAAAATGAAGGATTTAGGAGTGTCCATGCTGGATGAGGAGACTTTCTTCCACCTGCTGAGGGCCCACAAGAACATCTACACTGCCAGTGATGTCCATTACAAGTGTAGCACTACCCCCTTAGGAGTTGCTGCAGTTTTTGCGTCCCCCTATAGTCCTGCACAGCCTTGCAACACACATTTCTCTTGGACTTGCATTCTGGAGACAGTAAACAATCATTGAGCCTGGTTTTTAGGTTTTATTAGCGGTATTTGAACTTGGATGGAGTCAAGGGATGTATGGGATGCCCAAAGGAAACTGCAACTGAGGACAACTCCTTAGCAACAATGTACAAGTCTCTATACAGCAAAGATTTCTTCTTGGAGAGCTCTCCAGTCTCTCCTAGTATACCACCCCAGACCTCATATGAATCTCTTCTCATCCATCTGCTTGAGGGAATCCCTGGGCAAAGGGGACTCAGAATCTGTCCCTTTAAATCAAACAGTCCCAGATTGGGACTAGTCAGGTTTCCCACCCGAATGCCCTTTCCCCCTATCCAGTCCAGGGGCTGTGGGACTACTCACTTTCTCTCCTACGAGCTTGGTGGTTGCCTTCAGGCCTTGCGCTGGGCTGGCACCTTCCCTGCTGCATGGGTGATCCTCTCTCAGGGGACTACTGAGGTTGAGAGATCCTCCTTTTAACTTCAGCCTGGAAGTAGGCCCCTTCCCACTTGGCTCCCTCACAGGCTCCTGCATCCAGGCCTCTCACTTCGTCTTTCACCTAAACTCTCCTTCCACTGGGCAGGCTCAGTCAATCTTAAGGGCTGTCCTGACCCCTATGCCAAGCCTCCTGCCTGGGGATTGGTCAGGATCCTTTAAGTATGCAGATCAGCCTTTCCTCACCCCCACCCACTGCGTTCTAGAAACTTCTCAAGTCTCTAGAGCAGGGGGAAGTAGCAGGGAACTGATCTGCAGAGCCCTCAACCTTGACCTAAGATGACCTGGCTGACTAACACTCAGGCTGACTCATGCTCAGGCTGCTATTCTGTCTAACTATCTCCCCCTGGCTATCTAGAGGGTTGTTACACAAGAACTGTAGCATGTGAAAGAGGGCCTGGAAAGAAATTGGCTCAAGAACTCCAATAGCACAAGATGCCAAAACACCATACAAAAAACTAGAAAGCAGATACATCATTACATACTACTTTCCATCGGCGAAAACAATAACACATGAAGCTTGAAAACACATGTAAGATGCTTGTGCACAAAAAAAAAGCTCAAAATCACTTGAAAATACTAATATTTAAGTGTGATTGTGGGCATAAACAATAGATATGGATAGTAGTCTACTTTAACTATATCCATAACTAGTGCAAGGGTATACCTAGTGAATGGGCAGTG